TGAGTCACTGAACAAGGCCGCTGAATGAAGCCAACTCCGGGGGCAAGGGTCCAGCCCGCTTTGCTCTTCCAACATCCTCTTGTGCTGGCGACGGTGTGTAACAGCAAAAGACAAGGACACGAGCGACTCCCTCCCCACTGCCCCACGTTGTAAAGCTTCCAGGTCTTATCGATATGGGCTGCTGCTGCCTTTGGCCCCCTTGCAGAGCGCAGCCCAGCAGTGTTTGGATTTCAGGTAGAGAAGAGCGGGTGCGCCTCCCACAAGTGGCGCTGGGACACCCCGGTAGCACCCGGGGCATCTCCGCTGCGCGGCTCCCGGGGACCTCGCTGCCTAGATGCCCAGGGCAGGCTTGGGCTGGGAGCAGGTCAGCGCGAGGCCTGCCCACGAGGTCGGCAGGTAGCTGAGCGGGAGGGAGAGGAGCTTGGCAACCCAGCCGCAGGAGTAGCGGGTGCGGGGGTGCTGGGCCGTCAGCGCGTGCTCCATGGCGTCGGTGACCAGGCGGAGGTTGTCACTAGGTAAGATGAGGATGAGCTTTCTGGTGGTCTCAGAGTCTATGCAGATAAAAAATCTGTCTGTGAGCAGCCCAGCTGGGCTGGGCTGTGGGAACAAGCAGTGCAAGGGACAGGGAAGCCCAGGGGCAATCTGGGCACCATTGCAGCAGCGGGGACTGGTGCTGGACTCTCCCCACACCTGGGCCCAGGGACCTGCCCCTTGGATTCCCAGCGGTTGAAGTACTGCTGCCCTTGTTTGGGGCATGGCTCCATGCCTGCTCCAGGCTGTTCAGGATGTGCTGGGAGTTTGACATGGGCCAGGCTGGGCCGCTGGTGCAGCTCCCATTGCCAAAGCTGGGCACGGTGCCCATGGGGGCTGGGGTCTCCATCAGTCCATGCCCCAGACTGGTCACTGCCCTGTCCCAGCAAAATTCCCCCCACAGGTTTCCAGCCCCCAAATCCATCACGGTCACACCCCAGCCCATGGGTCCGGCCCCCAGACTCACAGCGGTCAAAGTACTGCTGCCCGTAGGCCTCCTTGACCTCGGTGAGGGCACAGCTCCACACCTGCTCCAGGCTCTTCCGGATGCACCGGGCCTCTAAAATGGGTGTGCGGAAGCCGCCCGGCTCGATGATGGAGACCTTGACCGCAAAATTGCAAAGCTCGCGCCTGGAATGGAACTGGCAGAGTAAACGCGGGGTAGAAACCTGATTTGGCTTGACCCACGGCCCCGCCACAGCCCTCACCGGCACCCAGCTTCCCGTAGGGCTGGTGCATCTTTGTAAGCAGGCTGAGGGGAGGTAGCTGGGCTAGAAGGGGCCCAGGAGAGGACACAGTTCATGGGGGCTGCAGCCCATGTACCTCAGGCTATCGGAGAAGGCCTCCATGCCGTACTTGGCAGGGCAGTAGCCACCTCCAGTTATGGAGAGTTGGCCCGCTGCGCTGGTCACACTGGCGATGCGGCCCCGGGCTCTGCGCACCAGGGGCAGCAGGCTCAGCCCCACCAGGTACACGTCCAGCACCTTGACGAAGTCGGCCTTGCTCAGCCACTCGTTGGGGATAATTGGGGTCCTGGAGCCAGCGTTGTTCACCAGCCCCAGAGTCCGGTAGAGGGGAAAGCATGAGAGCTCTGGGCTGGCTCCTTACCTGGCCCGATCCAGCTCCCAGAGCAGGAGCACCGGGGCTCAGCCCCTGCCAGGCAGCTCCCCTGCACGCTCTGGTGGGGCCAGCAAAGCCCTCCTGCCCTGACTGAGTTATGATGACAGCCTGGTTTTGACTCACCAGGTTTCCTCAATGCAACCCCCTTCCCGGGCAGGACTGTCCTGGCCCGTTGGTCCCAGCTTGCCCCGTTCTGCAGCCCAAGCCTCTGCTGGAGCTGACAAGTGGCAGAGAAGGGCAGGCAGGGGCTGGGGCACGGAGCGGGCCCTCAGGAAATGACGGAGGGCTGAGAGGGATGTGAGGCTGCAGGACACTGAAGGGCGGGGGGAGATCACGGGGGATCTGCTCTTTACCATCTCGAGAGCTCCCCGGGGATGAGTGGGGCAGTCAGGGCAGCAGCCCCGGGATGGGCCACATTGAGGCAGACAGGCAGAGAGCAAAGTAGTTTGAAGGGCTTGAAGTGAATAGGGTTTCTCTCGCAACCCGCCCCCTCCTTTAGGATCTGCCCCTGCCCCTGGAGAAACTGGAGTCTGGGCTGCGGGGACCTCTGCGCAGCACTTGGCGGGAATCTCCTGCTTTTATGTTCAAGGAGGTGCTGTGCAGGGAGCCGGGATCAGGGTTGTGCTGCACGGGGACCAGCCCAGAACCAGTCCCCCGCACGGAGCAGAGCACAGCACGAGGCTTCACCTCGGTCCCCCACCTGCCCCTTCACCCAGGCACTGGCCGCAGCAATGCTGTCGGAGCAGGTGACATCCAGGATCACCGTCTGCCGCCTCCCCGATGGCTCC